AATTCGTGTTCAACAAGGACACAACAATAAGGGGACAGTTGGAAAAATGTTCTAACTTAAACGCTGGACAGTTAATATTATGCATAATTTTAACTATACGTGCATAAATTTTTGGGTTTTCAAAATTGAGTACAAATTTTTCTAGACATTTAAAAAGTGAACATCATTTTCGCAATTTACGTACAATCCAGCCATAAAATTTTGGTTGTCCGAAAAATGGGCATACATTTTGACATTGAACAAATGCTTTTGTTGTTTCAAAATTGGACATAATTTTCGGATGATTTAAAAACTAGACACAAACCCCATTGTAATTTAAAAACTAGGGGCATTCTTTTTGTTAATTTGATGGTTTATGGTTTATTTAAAAGTTGGACATCACATACATATGGTCGTTTAGAAACTGAACATGAAATTTGGTTATTTAGAAAATTTATAAAAATTTTGATCAACTTAAAGCTTGAATTTTTGTTTTTGTTAACTAATAACGTAAGCTTAATTTTTTAATATGTATTTAGTTTAAAAATTTTCCGAAAATTCTTGATAATTTAGAAACTGCTAAGGCTTTTTGTTTGTCTAGAAGAAATTTTTATTTGTAAATTGGTTTATTCAAAAGTTGGACATCCCATATGGTCGTTTCAAAACTGAACATTAATTTAGGTTATTTAAAAAATATACAAAGATTTGGATCAATTTAAAGCTTAAATTTTTGTTCTTGGTAACTAAAAAAACTAGACATAATTTTTTAGTATGCAGTTTAAAAATTGGCCAAAAATTCTTTATAATTTGGAATTGTTTGTTTATAACTTGTAAAACAAATCTTTGGCCTTTAAAACCGGCTAAAAATTTTTGATGACTTGAAACTGGCAAATAAATCGTTAATCATTAAAAAACTGAAAAAAAAAATTTTGATAATTTAACTGGACATAATTTTTCAAAGTTGGCCATTTAAAAATTATGCATGAATTTTGGGATATTTTAGCACTGGACATATTTTTTTGCTTATTCATAAACTGAATATAAATTTTTGTTCATCTAAAAACTGGACACCGATTTTTGATCATTTAAAATTCACACGTAGATTTTTGCTAGTTTCAAACCTCTGCCTAAATTGATTACGTAAATCCGGGCATGCTTTTAGACATTAAGCTTTAGTTATTTAGGAATTAAATGTACATGTTTGGCACTTTAAAAATTGAATAAATTTTTTTTGTTAGTCTGAAAACTGGATATAAATTTTTGTACTTTTT